ACGCTTGTTAGTGACAAGCGTCGTCTTTTAAAAATCAAGTGGCCTTTTTTTGTAAAGATGACGGTTTTTGGAAAGAACTGTCGTCTATTATATGTAAAGACGGTTTTTTTTTTAAAAAAGCGTCGTCTTTTAAAACATGCTAAAAAAGGGCCGCTTAAGTGAAGTCGCGCTCGACAAATTTTCAAAATTTCCCCCGTCTTTGAAAACCTTATCTCTCATTAACAAGCGTCATCTTTTAAAACACGCTAAAAAAAGGCCGATTAAGTGAATTCGCGCTCGACAAATTTTCAGATTTTCCCCCGTCTTTGAAAACCTTATCTCTTCCTCCTTGAAACCCTCCTAAGCTCTCTATAAAACACCCTCATGAAAGGTTTGATTTGAAAGTGACCTAATCTCTCAATACCCTTCTATATCTTGCTAGTGAATTCTGGATTAGTCTCTTTGCGTTTCTGGTATGTTCTTTGTCTCCCTGATTTCAGATTTTCTGTCTCTCTTGATTTGTCTGGTTGGTTTACATATTTTTTTTTAATTTCTGGTTTCTTTTTAGATTTTCTGATTTGGTTCTTAGGAGATGAGGAGGAAGCTTGTAGATTTATAACTTCTTCTTTTGCAGGTTTTCTATGTGAGTCTTCTCTTGATTTGTCTGGTTTGTTTACATATTTTTTTTATTTCTAGTTTCTTTTTAGATTTTCTGATTTGGTTCTCAGGAGATGAGGAGGAAGCTTGCAGATTTATAACTTTTTCTTTTGCAGGTTTTCTTTGTGAGTCGTATGTTTTTTTGTTGTTGAAAATTTGTTACCTTCTCTTTTCACCATCATTTTCTTTATATATTTTTCCTTTTGCAGGTTCTCGATGGTCTTTTTTATGCTCATTGTACAAGTTTTCTATGGAAATATGGTCAAATGGTAAAATTTCTCTTCCCCCTAATTTTATATGTTTATAATCTTAGCTTTTTTTCTCTCTTTGTCATTTTGATTTATTTACAGGGATGATGGAGGAGACTTCAGTTGTGCATCATTTGTCTGTTTAGATGAGGAAGGCTTGGATTAGGAGTACGTAGGTCTTGTTAGGAAAAGATTGTACTACTTAATTGGTAGGAATTATGTTTGTTGTAGATTAAAGATTGATTAACTATGTAATAACTATTGAATCTTCAAGTTTTATGAAAGAAGCTATTTTTGAGTGTATATATTCATTAATAACGCATTATGATTGGTTTTCCAGTTAAAATCGTTGTATAGCATCATATGAAATCAAAAAGAACTAAAATGTAGCAGTTTGGGAACTTATTAGACGACAGTTTTCATAATAAATCATGGTCTTTACAGATAATTAACGACGGTTTTTATAAACTAACCATTGGTTTTACAGATAACTAACGACGGTTTTTATAAAAAGGGTCGTCTCTTATATGTAAAGATGACGGTTTTTTTAAAAAAAGGGTCGTCTATTATATGTAAAGATGACGGTTTTATTTTTTAAAAAAGGGTCATCTATTGTGAAGTAAATATGATGGTTTTTTTTTAAAAAAGTCGTCTATTATATGTAAAGATGACGGTTTTCATAAAAAACTGTCATCTTAACCTACAATACACGACGGTTTTCATAAAAAACCGTCATCTTAACCTACAATACACGATGGTTTTATTAAAAACCGTCATCTTTCCTCCTATAATTAACGATCTTTACCTCCAAACAATGACGATTTTCTTTAAAAACCATCGTTTTTACAGATAAACAACGACGGTGAAAAGCCGTCGTAGTTTGACACCCAAAAAGATGGCGGTCGATTTAACAACGATTTTCAAAGCATTACAACGACGGTGGATCCCCGTCGTCTATTTCGTTTTTTGTAGTAGTGAGTGTTTAATGTGATGGCCTCTTTTCGGCACCAGTCTAAGATAAATGTTGCGGCGGTGTGTGTTCTACCGGTTTCTCTAACTAC